CACATGCCCCCCCCCCCCCCCCCCCCCAGGCTGGTGTAGCCTACCGAGATTCAAGGACCCCTCTGGCCTCCAGCATGGGTGAGCAACCCCAAATCCTACGGGATTTACCCCAAAACAATGCCCCATGCCCTGCTCTTCACCTCCAAGCCCCGCCCCCTTTCCTCATCTCCAGGGAGGGACCCCAGAAGCTCATATAGGACCTCAAACACCCATGGTGTGACCCCAAGTCCCTGATCTCCCCCCACAGAGACCCCAAAACCCCTGATCTCTCCCCATGGTGACCCCAAAACAAAACCCCCAATAGTACCTCAAACCCCCATGGTGTGACCCCAAACCCTTGATCTCTTCCCATAAAGACCCCAAACCCCCACGGAAGGAGCCCAGAGCTCCCCGAACTCCCTGCAGGACACCAAGCCCTCCCAGAGAAGCCCCTCAGTGCTGATCCCGATCTGTGGGGTGACCCAAAATCCCCCTAACGCCCTTTCCCCCCTTAGTGCCCCCCCGGGCTGGGACAAGTGTGGAGCAGGTACTGGGGGCACTGGGAGGGGACTGAGGGCCTTGGGATAAACCAGGAGATGCAGAGAGGGGGATCTGGGGGGACTGGAATAAGCTGGGAGGAGATATAGGGAGCACGAGGAGGGACTTGGGGGCAGTGGTGGGGGGGGTGGTTACTGGGAGGGATTGGAATAAACTGGGAAGGGTAACTGGGGGGGACTGGAAGGGGGATTGGCTACTGGGAGAAAAATTGGGTTCCTGGGAGCACTGGGAAGGGCGGTGTTTGGGCTACTGGGAGGGGTGCTTGGTGTTACTGGGAGTACCCCAGCTCTACCCCTTCCCCTTTGCCCCTTATTCCACCTCTTTTCCTTCTAAACCAAGACAAAACCTCCGAATTCTGTAGTTATGCCCCAAATTCAGTAGCCGCCCTCGCCCGAATTCGGTAGCCAAGCACCCCCAGAATTCAGTAGCCACGCCCCAGAGTGCGGTAGCCACCCCGAAAATCGGTAGCCAGTTCCTTTATGTAGGGCTCTGCTCTGCGGCCGGCGAGGGGCGGGCGCTCCCAGTGGGACAGCAATCCACGACCATAAAGGACAAACAGAGACCTTTGAAGGGATCCAAGGCTCCTGGACAGGAGCTCCGGGAGGTCCCTGGAGGTGGCTGGGCGCAGGAGAAATAAAAATGAATTTAAAAAATGCCAATTTTGGGGTCATTTTGAGTCCCGTTTGTGGAGTAAGCGGCGTGGCCTCTACCGCGCGGCCCCGCCGGTTGAGTTGTCGGTGCTGCACCCCTAATTGGTTGTTGGCTCGGTGTGGGTGTAGCCTAAGGGTAAAGCGGAGTTTGGGGGGAAATGGAGAGAATTGGAAAAAATGGGGGAAACTGGGGGGAAATGGAGGGTTCCGAGGTGGTCTATGGAGGAGGGGGAGGGCTTCCGTCATCTGGGGACAGCGCGGATTGGTGGAAATCCGTTAGCGGGCGCTGCTCAAGGGCGGCCGGTGCTGGGGATTGAAGAAAAGGAATGTAGGGCTGGTACCAACGGGGTCGACGGAGCCGGATTGGTGGCGAAGAGAGTGGGACGGGGCGCCTGAAGGGACGTCACTTCTGGCTAGCGGTATTTCCGCGTCCTGTTTGGCCGGCGGTCGCCGCTGATCCTGGAACGCTCCGGGAGCGTTCTCCCTGGCCCCCCCCGAAGCGCCTCGGGGTCCCCGGAACCGCCTCAGAACCGCTCCGGAGCCACTCAGAGTTCCTCCGGAACACCCGCGGCTCCACCTCCGCACTCTCCTACGGCTCGGCCCGGGCCGGGCCGCTCCGCCCCGCGTCCGGCGCGGGGCTCGGTGGGGCCGGCCGGGGATGCCGCGGCGCGGCCCACGCCATGTGGTACATCATGCAGAGCATCCAGAGCAAGTATTCGCTGTCCGAGCGCCTTATCCGCACCATCGCCGCCATCCGCTCCTTCCCCCGGGACAACGTGGAGGATCTCATTGGTCGGGTGAGCCCCTGCGGCCGGGACATCCCCCCCGCTTCCGCGGCCGGGCCGGGCTGCTTGAGTCCCTCGAGCGCTCCGGCTCCCTCTGACGAGCACTGCCGAGCTATCCCCAGCTGTCCCGGTCCCTGCGAAACGACCCTGTGAGGACTCCCTGGATGGGTTTTCGGGTCCCGAGAGGAGAAGATCAGGGCATCTCCAGTTGGTTCAGAGACTCCAGGCTTTTCCTTCCTTTCCGGACCCCCGGGGCTGGGGGGGGATCTCCGGGCACGTTTGCTGACACTGAATTGGTAAAACACAACCGGGAGCCGGTATTAAGACCGGGAGTGTCCTTGTGAACGAACCCACGAGATACCTCTTAATTAAGCCCTTCCGAACGGGTGGGATTTTCTGACTTCGAGGCAGTTCCTGTCCTCGGCATTTCCTGCAAACCCCCGGGATTTGTGTGAACTAACCCTTTCCCATATGGGATAGGAAGGGGGGTGTTCCTGAACCGGAGGGGTTCCTGTGCTCTCCAGGGCGCCGATGTGAACTGCCTGCACGGCACCCTCAAACCCCTGCACTGTGCCTGCATGGTGGCTGATGCCGACTGCGTGGAGCTGCTGCTGCAAAAAGGAGCCGAGGTAAAGCTTTGGGAAAACCGAAAACAGGTGGAAAACACTGAGAAGAGGGGTGGGGAAGTCAGGAGGAGCTGATAAGCAGCTAGGGTTAGAGCTGATGGGTTTACGTAGGATTTTGGGAAAAAGTTTCTCCCCCGGTGTCATGGGGGCACAACCTCTGGGGACTGGGGTTTGGACAACGCTCCCAGTGTAGGGGGGGATTTTTGAGTCTCCTGTGCAGAGCCAGGGCTTGGATTTGATTATCTTTGTAAGTCCTTTCCAGCTCAGGATATTCCATGGGTTTGTATCCCATCACAAGGTGGCAGTGGGGGAAGGTTCATTGTGTCAGCAGGGAGGGAAGTTCTGGGCAGCGAGCGAAGGAAGAACAGAAACCTAAATTATTGTGCTGAGCTGTTGGGGAGGGTGAGGGGGGAGAATTAAAACCTAAATGTTTGCACTGAGGTCTTGGGAAAGTGAGGAGGTAGGATTAAAACCTAAATTTTTGCACTGAGATTCCAGGAGGCTGGGAAGGAAGAATTAAACCCTAAATTAGCTGGATTTTTTACCCTGCTTTCCCCTGTCTGCTGGGCTGAAACCCTCCCTCATTTTTCCTTACATTTGGGATTTGTGACTTTTGTTCCCTTGCTGCCGGATCCAGCTGCAGGTCCGCTCCCTGACCCCCAGACCTTTATTTTCTCCCCCAGGTGAACGCCCTGGATGGATACAACCGCACAGCCCTTCACTATGCAGCAGAAAAAGATGAAACCTGTGTGGAGATTTTATTGGAGTACGGAGCCAACCCCAACGCCCTGGATGGCAACAAGGACACGCCGCTGCACTGGGCGGCCTTCAAGAACAACGCCGAGTGTGTGCGGGCTCTGCTGGCCAACGGCGCCCTGGTCAACGCCCTGGACTACAACAACGACACCCCCCTGAGCTGGGCGGCCATGAAGGGCAACCTGGAGAGCGTCAGCGTTTTGCTGGACTTCGGTGCCGAGGTGCGCGTGGTCAACCTGAAGGGCCAGAGCCCCATCTCACGCCTGGTGGCGCTGCTGGTGCGGGGCCTGGGCACGGAGCGTGAGGATTCCTGTCTGGATTTGCTCCACAGAGCCACAGGACACTTTGAGCTGCGCAAGAACGGGAGCCTGCCCTGGGAGGTGGCCCGGGACCCGCAGCTGTGCCAGCGGCTGACGCTGCTGTGCTCGGCGCCTGGCACGCTGCAGGCGCTGTCGCGCTATGCCGTGCGCCGCTCGCTAGGCCTGCGCTTCCTGCCCCAGGCCGTGCAGCAGCTGCCGCTGCCCGCCTGCCTCAAGGAGTACCTGCTGCTGCTCACCTGAGGAAGGGACACCTGCCCTTCCCCCAGATTGGCCCTTGCTTCTGGGACAGGTTTCCTGCTCGCTTCGTGATTCACCGGGTTCCTCTCCGAGGCTTTTGTTCCCCTTGGCCGCCCAGGACCCCGCTGGCCCCTTACACTGCCTCCCTTTCCTCCTCCTGCCCCTTCCATTTTGTCCCCTTTGCTTCTCCCCCTTTCCCCCCCTTTCACCCTCCTGCAATGAACAATCCCCCTCTGATGGCAAATTATATCCCAGCTGTTGGATTAATCGGTTTTTCCCTTTTTATGTTTTTTTTTGCCTTGCAAAAGGAAGGATTCAAAGGAACATTCTCCTTTGAGGAAAAACCCAAGGCGGGAAATTGAGGGCTGGGATGCAGAGAAATCTTGTGGGATGTGTTGTCCGGAAATCAAAGATCCGGGTGTTTCTCCAGCACAGAGAGGGAAGTTTTCCCTGTTTATCCATAATTTTTATGCTGCATCAAGAGTGAAACCACCTCAAAAACTAAAATTTTGCAGGGCTTGAATTCTTGTGGGTCAAGGAAATCTCCACAGAGCTCCACGTGGAGCTGAGGACTTCCCTCCCACTTCCTCAAGTGCTTCCTGAGGCTTCCCACCAGGAATTCACCCTTTGGTGGTGGTTTGCGGGTCTTTTGGGGATCTATTCCAGGATTCAATGGCAGAGCAGCTCTCCAGGGTGAAGCCAAGCAGCTAAAACTGTCATGGTAATTTTCTGGGCAGAACTTGGGGATGAAAGTTCAAATTCCACCTCTTTTATTCTTCTCTGTTATGCTGGGCAGTGAAATACTGAGGATTGGGGGGGATTTGGGGTCAGTGGGATCCAGGTTTAGCTTTCCATGGATTCACAGAAATCTGGAGCACTTGGACAAACACTGAATTTATTGAAACATCTCAATTTTGTGACTTAATCCGAAAAGCCTCAATTCATCATGCCATCGCTTGGGGACCACTTCTCAAAATCCCATAAAATCCCCAAAAAGCCAAAGGCTCTGGGAAAAGGGGATTTCTGGGGTTCCCCAGGGCTGGTGGTGGCAGCTGTCCCTGTCACAGAGGGGCCTCGGGGACCAGGACCTTGCGGGTCAGGTGCTCCAGGTGTGCCGTCTCTGATGTGTCCAGCTCAGTGTTGTACTTGGCCAGGATTTTGAGGATGGGCCGCAGCCTCAACCACCACTGCTCCTTGGGGATGCGGTGCCTGAGGGGACAGGACAGGGGCAGGCTAGGGACATCCCTGGGGAGGGATCCCAGGCTTTGTCCCACCTTCCCAGGGCGGGGAAGGGAGGGACGGGGAGGGACACGCACTCAAAATCCGTCTGCTGGCGCAGCTCGGTGATGGGCTGGAACACCAGGCTACGCTTGCGCATCCCCAGCAGGCACGCCGAGTCAGCCGTGTTGGCAAAGATCCGGCCTGGGAGGGACACGGGTATGTTTGGGAACATCCTGGAGGTGAGTTGGGAATACTTGGGATCGTCCAGGGATATGGGAGGGAAGGCTGGGAATGTTTGGGAATCTTCTGGAACGGGGGAGCATCTGGGAGAAGTTGGGAATGTTAGAGATCCTCCTGGAGCAGGGGTTGGGAATGTTTGGCATGCTCCATGGGAGGGTAGGTGTGGAACGTCTGGGACCTTCCAGGAGCATGGGAGGGGAGGTTGAGAACGTTTGGGATCATCCAGGGTTGGGGAACACCCCCTAGATTAAAATCTGCGGGAGGGCCTTTTGGGAACGTAAGGTCACTCTGGGGTCCCTTTGGGATCCCTGCTCCAGCAGCACCCACCATGCCGGCAGCACTCCTTGATCTTCCCAGTGATCCAGGCCACGGCCTTGGCGCCCATCTTGGTGCCAAAATTCCGGTCAAATGGAGTGGGGCTGCCTCCCTGCACCAGGAGAATCAGAGGATGAGCTGGGGAAATCCCCCAAACCCTGATCCCATTCCTTGGAAAATCTCCCAAACCCCAGTCCTATTCCTGTGGGAATTCTCAAACCCTCACCCCCTTCCCAGGGAATTCCCACCTGCTGCATGTGCCCCAGGACATTTTTCCGGCAGTCAAAGACCCCTTTGCCCTCCTCGGAGTAGAGGTTGTAGATGAAATCTGTGGTGTAATTCTCATTGCAGCGCTCGTTCCTACAGCAGGGACAGGATCAGGCCCAAATCCCACAATTCATCCCA